CTTCGGTCGCTGGCACAGACCTCACTGCGTTCGGTCTGTACTGGCGACCTCGGTCAAGATTCTCCCATACAGACCTCCCACTCGGTTAATAAGAGCTAAGTCTCATTCTGTTGTTATTTTGAGAGGCATGAGTGTTTTTAATTATTTTCCTAGCGAACTAATCGTGAAACCGAGTTGAAAAGCCTGTGTAGGAGAAAGTTCGAAGCTGATACCAAGGTATGTTTGGTTGCTCTTTAGAAAAAATAAAATTTTAACGTAGAAATTTCGCACTGGCTAATCAACCATATTTATTCTCACTATTGAACATAAACAGGTACGTCAAATGGGTTAACTTAGGAACATTTCAGGAACTGAGCTTCATGTCGTGTTCATTTTGTACACACTGTAGTATTTATATGAACTTACTACCTGAACTTCCTTAATCTTCTTCATTACATCGCAGATGTGTTATTAACAATGTTTCATCGCTTGCAGCCCTTGACTTTCCATTGTGTTTTGTGATGAGGAATATGATTGGCTGAAATCAATATTAAAAGCGGTCTAGATTTTCCCACTAGGTATTAGTTTTATCGCTTGAAGAGTCAGATGGCGCTCACTCATGGAGATCCCGCGACGCATCGGCGTCCCTGCAAAAGTTCGCGCAGCACGCTGGGACTAATTTTTTTCACTGATTTTTTTTTTATTCGCCCAACGGTCTTAGCCGAAAGGGAGGGACCACTTGTAGTCTAATTTTTTTATGAATTTTTAAAGATCCCAAAATTGGCTTCCTTGATGTTCTTGACCGAATAGGGTGGAACAGGGCGGGTTCGCTTGTGACATTATTCCCAGAACCGATTCGACATTAGATGACGTTGCCATTAACAACATTTTGCATCTCTGTTAAGAAGATTCTTAATTGTCGTGGGTCTGTTCAGTGATACATCAAAGAAATTTCGATCACTCGTGTACAACTGTTTTGTTCTCTCCACATTTTGACGTCTCTTTTATGTACTACTGGACAGACCAAAATCAACTTGGTTTTTACTCGGTGGTCAAATTTAATTTAGGTATCATACATAAAGAAGATATGTAAAGTTGGCAGTTACACACAAGTTGATACTATCGGTAATTGAACAAGGGAGCGAATCGAACGAGTGAGACTCCTGCCACCAATTGAGGAATTGGTGAAGACTGTACGGACTGACTTTCCTTTGTGTTTTGTGATGACCCCACGAGCAGCATTTTCCATGTGATTTAATAAGAGATATTTATTTGCCCCCAAATGGTATCCACTTGTTGGCTGAGTGGGGGGTTGGACAGGAAAACATTTGGCTAGAGGTCATGACATTATAATGGACCAAGCATAGATGTGTAATCGGCAAAGTTTTCTGTTGTTTAACTCCAATTTGTGTTCATTTCTTTAGCTATTGTTTTCTATGCAAGAGGATCTGGAAAAGACATACCAAAATTATGAATCCTCTGACAATTCAATTTTTGGTGTTCCATGTGAAGCTGTTCCTGGTAAGTATAACATGTAGTGATAGAAACTGTCATGTTAATTGTTTAGTTGCATTGCTTGTTTTGTGACAGCTATTTAAAGACTCACTAAAACTAAGTGAAACTGTTACAAAGTATATATTATGAAAGAGGGTAATTCAAAGTATTATCTTAACATTATATGTACTATTGTTTACCTGCTTATACACTGTTTTAAATTTTGTCTTCTGTTTTTTTTTTTTCTTAACAGTTTGAAAATTCTTTTGGAAACTGCACATATTTACATAGTATTGGTATTTCTCGAACAGCAAATCTAACAACTGATCGAACAAAATCCTATTTCTTAAGGCTCCTGTGTATTCTTTATGTAAACAAGCCCCTCCTACTGAAGGGTTTTGCCACCCTTGAGGGTTTCATGCGAATGGAATCTAATTTCTGTCAATAAGAAATGCTGCATATCATCACAAAATTAGTTTCAAATGTCATTTTGTGTTATCATTTTCATTTTTGTACAGATCATTCAAATGTAGAAAGTGAAGAAGCTTATCACTGTGCTGAACAAGAAAACTGTGAGTTTTCCTTTTTATTTTCTAGTCTATTAATTGTCAATGATAGGGTACCTATATTATATGCAATACTCATGCTGAGGATTACTGGTGGTTGTTTGTTGTTGTTGAAGCAGCTCCAGTCTTCAGACAGATTTTTCCCAACTTTTTCACCAAAAGTAAGGAAAATATGGGACTAACCTTTAATATTTGTGATACTAATCATTTCATGATATCTTTTACAGCTAATTCAAATGTGGAAGCTGAAGAAGCTAATTACGGTGCTGAGCAAGGAAACTGTAAGTTTGCCTCCTTACTTTCCTGTAAGTTTTTGTCAATGCACTACCTACACTGTAGAAGTGTAAAACCTTCTGATTTTTATCAATGGTTGATTAAAATGAACTGTATGTATTATGATATTCTGATGATGATAGAAATGAAGTTAACTTGTGGTAGTTGATGTTTTGTTGCAGTAATCCAAAAGATTGGTCCTTCATCAGGTCCTGTGGAGGTCAGTTTTGACGATGTTTACCTCATTTTTGTAATTATGATGGTCTTCTAAATTGAATTTTATAAACCTGATATAAGAGGCTAGAAAGGTAACTACCGTGGTCGCCAAAAAAATTGGAAATAGCTGGCAGATGTCATTTAACACTATTTCCTTTTGCAGGGTGGAGGGAACTTCCTCATAACAGTTAGCGAAGAACTTCCAGACTGTATTGATTCTGGTTTTGCTTACTTTGGAAGTAATCATGCAGTGTTAACAAAACTGAATAAGTTTACTTTTGAAGGAAGAATTCCAGGTAAGCATCTGTTCAGCTGAAATTTTAAAGTACAGAGATGATATCTGCAACCCTACAAGTGAACTGCAATTGGAAGAAATTATAGAAAATTAAAAAGTCCCATCAAGGACTGAATAGCTTGTTTTTT